TAGCATTCTCGCGTTATCGCGTTTTCGCGTTTTCAAAATCCCAATTTCGTTTTTGTCAACGAGTCTCTCCTTCCGACGCCAACTAACTGGGATGTTTCATCGAGTCGTTGCTTTGCGACGTACTCGCGCCTTGTGCAACGTGGCACTTGGTGATGCCGGCCGCGCAGAACGTATGTCCAGTACAAAATGTACATGGGCGCGCGGGTTCGATGCTTCGCGCTCGATCGGCTTAGTGATGAACACGCTCTGCTTCGTCAATTGATTTGGCCCGAATCGGTTAGAACTCGATCGATTGTTCGAAATGGTCGTCAATGGGTCCCTTCTCTTTGCTCGTCTACTCTACAGCCACACGCCTAGCGTGTGTTAACCCTGTCGAGGAGTCGAGTGGATTCCCCTAGGCACGATTTTCGCTCGGTAAAAGGGGTTGCCTCCCCATTTTCTAAATTGCTGAATGTTAGCTTTTAAAAAATGTGGGTATCCTCTTCTTTTACCGTCTATCAGCCTTGTGTACTGCGCTAGTGATATAGCATCCGTGCGGGTCACTTGAAATCGTGCTTAGCGGGTCCAGGTTCGATATGAGATAGGATAATTATGCGCGAAAAAGAGCTGGTGAACTTTATTTTCCTCTATTCCGTCAATCGTTTCGTCTTCTTTCCGGTTCGGGCCTAATCTTTGCTCGTTGTATCGTTGCATTCCCGACCTGTTGGCTCGAAATTGATTCTCGCGAAATGAAATGGGATTTTCGCTCGTACCGAAACCGGGAGTGTCGGACATAGTATATATATATTAAATATATACATCGCGCGACAAAATTTTTAATCGTACCGAATTAGTGCGGGAGTGCCGTTTAGTATCGCGCGTAAAATAACGAAAATAGCGATATAAAAATATCGCTCGTGAGTGCGGGAGTGCCGTTGAAAGTATCGCGCGTCAACAACATGAGAGGAGGAGGAGGCCTGGGAGAGGCATCTTGCATCGGCGGAGCAACCTGATGGTGAATATTTATTATTTGTATATCAATTGTTATAAATCGTACGCATAATAATTCGATCTTATTATTTAAATGAATTAAAGAGAAAATTAGAGAGAAAGATTTTTATAAAAGTTATATAAAACTTTTTAAAAAACTTTCTTAAAAAACAGTTTTAAAATTTTATAAAAATTTTCCACACGTGTTTATCTCTGCTTATTATTTTACACATCGGATATAAAATTCCGCGCGATAAAAATTTTTTGAAATATTGATTGCATTTTGTGAGCATTAATATAAATGAATTTTATATTTGTATGTTACAGACAACTAGCTTCGATAACAACAACTCCGCTGTTGCGCATCAGTGTCGGTGAGTGAGAAAAACTTTTATTTAATTTTAAGGTAACGGATTCGTAGAGATTGTAGATGTAGATTGTAGATTGTAGATTGTAGATTGTAGATTGTAGAGTGTGAATTGTAGAGTAAGTCCGTTGCCTTAAAATGGATGAGCTATGATAGATTAAATTAAATAACTTTTAATAAATTCTTTCGAAAAGCTTTGCATCTATTGCGAAAATATATTGAAGTATTAATTTAAAAAAGAGAATCTCAAGAAAAGAAAATTTTTTTTGTAAAGACTTGACTAGTTTATTAAATCAAGAGCACGCATTAATAATTTTAACAATTTTATCAATTTTTGATACTACTTTATTCTTATAACGCGCACTTATTTTATTCTAATTTCTTATATCATAGCTCATCCATTGTAGAATTTGTTTGTAGATATTGTTTTTAAATTTTACTTTAACTTAAAATAAAGCCAAACGATTAATTAATTAAATAATTTGTAATATCATAAAAGTTATACACATACATGAATTTTATATTTTATTAGAAAATATAGTATATAGAAATTTGTAGTAATTTGGCTTTATTTGAGTTAAAATAAAGTTATATTCAAATATTTAAGAAACGATCGTAAAATCGAGCGATCGTTACGATGAGCGTGAAATATTTACGCTCATTTGCCGGTAATTAATCGGCAAAAGAAGGAGTGTTTATCTCCTTTTTCGATCTCTGATTAGAGATCGAGCGAGAAAGTGGCCAGAATCAACGAAAAGTAAGTTCAATTGGCCTGAAGAAAAGTTTTACGTACAATAGTACGTAATGTCGGACATTTATTCACGCGGTTAGGGCATGCGGTTAGAGAATGTAATTAGGGCACGTAATTAAAATATACGTGATTAGAGATAGGCTTTCCTCGAATAATTTCACTTAATCGAGAAATAGGATTGTTAGGGCTATTAGGTGATCATTAAAATTTTTTAATTTTCCATTCAAAAAGTAGAGGATTGTTAGGGCTATTATGTCATTAATTTAGCTGATTTTATATTATGTATCTTTTAAGGAATCAGGAAATGTAGGTTTAAATAATATTAGGGAAAACAAATTAATAAATATTTCAATAATTACGAGAGTCGTTTGATAAATTTGGTAAAAAAGCAAGTAAAACACATTGTTTTGGAAAAAATCTACGTTATTTCTCAACATAGTCTCCATTATCATTAAGGTCTATACACTTGGTCGAACGAGATTCCAATTTTTTAACCGTCGAAAAAATAGACTGTCTCAAAACTTGCAAAATACTCGTTGAATTTCACGGAAATTTACCAAACTTATCAAACGACCCACGTATATTATTAATTTATTAAGAATTTTATTTTTTTATTAAGAATTTTTAAGGGATCAATATTTTTTGAGTGTTTTTTTATAGGTATTTTATTTATATAAGGATGAAAATTAACTTGTTAACATTCAATAATTTGTATAGTAATACGAATTTTTTTGCGAAATTTTATGTACTTATGTAATACGAAATTTATGTACTTTTATATAATACGAAATTTTAAATGAAAAATTTAAAATACAAATTTATATATTAAGCTATTTTTTAGTAATATGAATAATAAATTTCGTATATTTATGAATTTATAAGTTATTTTTAAATATAGAAATTGAAAGATTTAAAATAGAATTAAGAATGATATTAAAGAATAGATATTAAAGAATGAATAGAATTTATAGGAAAAGATTTATTATTAAAATTTCAAAAAAAATTTTAATTTAAATAATATTTTTAAATAATAACTTTTCGAAAATTTATATATTCATTTATTTATATATTTATGGTTTTAATTTAAATAGTAATTTTTACAAAATTTATAGATTTATATACTTATATATACATTTAAGGTTTTAGTTTAAATAATAATAATTTTTATATAAAATTTATATGTTTATTTTCTTAAATATAGATGTTTGTGTATTTATGTATTTAAAGTTTTAATTTAAATAATAATTTTTATATAAAATTTATATGTTTATTTTCTTATATATAGATGTTTGTGTATTTATGTATTTAAAATTTGAATTTAAATAATAATTTTTATAAAATTTATATATTTATATATATTTTGAGATATATATAATTTCATTAATTGTATTTCATTAATTTTATTTATATAAATTTATCTAAACAGCTTATATTATTAAAGTTTAATATCGAAGATATTAAGAAAATTATTTTTTTCAGATATTTGTGAATATATATTGAATATAGTGAATATTATGAACATATAATAGGATAGTAGTTTGTTAGGGCTACTCCATATAATGCTCCTTATGCACATGGTTCCGGGGACTTGCGCGTTGGAAGATTAAGGAAAGGCGCGTGGGGTTTTTAGTTGGTAGTCCCTGCCGTTAAAATGGCGGCAGGGAGAGCCCAACACTACCCCGACGGGACCGCTAACGTCGGGGTGTGCATAAGGAGCATTTTCCCCACGTAAAAAAAAAAAAAAAAAAACTTGTTAAATTATGTTGTATTACATTTCAAATTATATTATATTTTAATAATGAATTTCAACAATGAATTTCAACAATAAATAACATAATATCCGACAAACAATACCGTGCCAATGATTTTGTTTTACGGTCTTGTTATGCAAATTTAAATTTATATACTATATTGCAAACTAAATGCTGCAATTGTATATATTATATTATATATAAAATTATATATAATATAACCCTCCCATGGGGTACACCTTGTCGCGGTGGGAGGGCTTAGTACTTGGATGATGTCTTGAGATTTATCTTAAATTTTTCTATTTATGATAAATCTTAAGGTGCTTGAAAGGGAAGCTAAGTACCCTTTCGCGTCGTCGGTGCCGTCAACGTGCCGCGGACGGCAAGCGTTTCGTTACCGCGTTTTCGCGTTGTAGTATTCTCGCGTCGTCGCGTTTTTGCGGAAATTTTGGACTTTTTCATATAATAAAATAAACAAAGTTAAAGGCTCCTCTAAATTAACAAATCAAAATTAATATCGAAAGGCAGTTAAGAGCCAACGCAGTTGTAGGGCATGGATAAAATAATTTCCAAAACAGCAACTAAATTTTAACGATCCATTCGCTTTATTCCAAACGTTTCGGACTCGATTCGAGCCTTCTTCAGTGATTAAGCATGCATGGTTTATAGAAGTGACGCGACTTCGTCAAGGCTGATCCATCCGAGAAAGCACGATGCAAAAAGCCCTCTCAACGGTACAAAGCGTGAAGAGCGATGCACATGTGCAAACCATACAACTTTTGTCTATTTATTTTGCTGAAAATGCTTCGTTGAAAAATTATCGAGGTGTGTTTTTTAAAGTAAAACACCCTGTATATTAATACGTTTGAATAAAGTGAAAACAAAAAGTAATCAAAAGAGTAAAGAAGAAGATTAAGTGATTTTAAATATCTCTTAAGAATGTGAGATTGTTTAAAGACAAATGGCCTCAGAAGGTATTCGAATAACTACTACAGGAAGGAAGAAGTACGATAAATCTCTGCAACTTTGGAGAAAATGTAAGAAGTCATAATCCGAAGATTTAAAGAAGAGGATGCGTTGGATAAAAATGCATAGTAATTAAGAATGAAAAAACAGGTTGCAATTATATAAAATACGTTAATAATAATAACAAATTATGTTACACTTTATAATTTATTACATTATATTATGTCACACAACAATTGCAAAGTTATTTCTGTTGAAACAAAATACTACTGTGTGTATCATTAGTATAAGCAAATCTATAGTTTGGATTGTTCTGTGATTATAATATCGCTCTCGCCGGAATTTTGCGTTGATAGGTTCAAATTCCGATTATTTCTATTTTTCAGATAAGCATTTTTTGCCTGTTCCAAAAGATTCTGTGCCATTTGATTATCCGTCTTATCCACCATTTGCTTAAAGTAGCCATTCGGTTTGTCATGTAATAATTCGTACGGCGTGCCAAATTCCTATTTGTATATTTATGATATAATTATTAAATATACGAATTCTTCTTCTTTTTCTCTATCCATCTAATTATCTCTCTCTTATCTATCTAATCATCTCTCTTAAGAAATATTTAAAAAATCTCATTGTCGTAATACTAAAAGTTTTTTTCAGTGTAAAAGAAGAAAAAATATTGTGAAGATATTAAAAGCTTACGAAAATATCAAAATTTTATATTACACTTTATTATTTAACTTTATTATTTAAATATTTAATTTTATTTCAGCGTTTTTCCCATTACGATATAAATTTAAATATTGACTGTTTATTATACATATATATATGTATATATATATATATATATATATATATATATATATATGGAGAGAGAGAGAGAGAGAGAGAGAGAGAGAGAAAGACATATAAACCGATATTTGTTAGAATTCTTATTAAATGTGTAAAATTTTTTCTGAAATATTTATGCAAAGAAAATAAATATGATGTATTTGTAATTATTTTTTTATAAAATTAATATTTTCGTCATTCCACAAATTACATACCACGATGTAACCGTTTTCCATCACTATAATGCGATCACTGTCTATGACAGTATTCAAACGATGCGCTATCGTGATGACAGTGCAATCTTTAAAGTTCTTCCTTATCGTATCTTGAATTAAAGCATCAGTACTGAAAAAGGAAATACAAATTTAAAATAATAGCAAATACAAAATATTAAATTCGTAAATTACCTACTTATTGATCGAGTATCTAAATCTTTACTGGAGATTTAAAATTTATTAAGACTTACTAGGAATCAATATTTGCTGTGGCTTCGTCAAGAACGAGCAGGCGATTATTTCTCAAGATCGCTCTAGCCAAGCATATGAGCTGCCTTTGACCGACGCTGAAGTTATGGCCACCGCAAAGGACATTTTGGTCCAACGCAAGTTCGTTTAGCTCGACCAATCGAAGCACCTCCCACAGCTTCACATCGTCATACTGATTGAACGGATCCAAATTATAGCGTAAACTTTCGGAGAAGAGCACCGGCTCCTGGGGTATGATGGAAATCTTGGAACGTAACTCCTGCAGATTTAGCGTACCCGTCTCCCGCTCGTCAATTTCAATTTCACCCTTTAGATCTTCATTAAACAGGCGAAAGAGCGCGGAGATTAATGAAGATTTGCCAGCACCAGTTCGTCCCACTACACCGATCTTCCAACCAGGTTCAATAGACATGTTCAGATTCTGCGAAATGACGTGGATAAAATATATGACGAAAATATATGACGTGCACTGAATTGCAATGAAGGTTGATTTCTTTGTTTACCTTTAAGACAAACGGATTGTTCTTGTCATACTTCATGCTGACATTTTTAAATGTTAATCGTCCTTGAGATGGCCACGTAGGTGGTAGAGGATCATCCGAGGTAATGATTGGTTCCTTGGGAAGATTTGTATACTGGAGAATTCTTTCCACAGCTGTCATCAACGAAAAAGTCTCGGCTATCTGTTTTATGCTGAATTGCAAACCGCCGACCAAGATTAGTGATTGCGAAATTGCCAAACCTACATCGCCACCGGATACATTGCCTGAAAATTAACAAAAAAAAAAAATAAAAAAGAATCTCAAAGATTACTAATTAATAAAAGATAGTATTCTGTATAATGTTATATATACAGGGTGTCCCAGTTATCCTTTGTCATCTTTCAAAGACAGATTCCTTGGATCATTTGAAGACGATTTTTCCTCAGCGAAAATGTCAATGAAGGCCATCATTTTTTGCATGTTCCCGATTTTTATCATCATATATCTTTGCAATTAAGTCTTAAATTAAAACTCAACTAAAATAAACTCTATTTAAAATTAATCAAAGAATGTGGTTTTATTAATATTTTATTTCTACAAAGCTTAGCCTACAAAAAACCCCTTTTTTCCAATCACTTATAATTCGAAAATTATTAGTGCCTCGACATTTTCAGAAATTGGGGAAAAATCGTATTCAGATGATCCCAGGAATCTGTCTTTGAGAGATGACGGAAGATAACTGGTACACCCTGTATGTAAAATATATATTATTTAGTTTTTTTTACAAATTCGTAGAAAGAGAAAGAGAAAAAAGAAAGAGATATATATTTTCCCTTTATTTATAATATCATATATTCTTGTATATTTTAACATCGATCAAAAATATATAACATTAATTGAGAATATTCAGAAAATGAAATGTTGAAAAGAACGCACCATATTCACTTATCACTATGAAGGAATAGCAGAGGCAGATCATGAACAAGCACGTAATCGTGTCCACAACGATGCCGAAAACAGTTCCACATGCCAAAACTTGGTACCACGCCCCACTATGAGTATTTTGCAATTCATCGAACCTGTCTCGTACCATCTTCTCGATATTGTTACCGCTGCTCCGAATCGTCGGTAATCCATTTAGTGTAGCGTTTATATGTGAAAACAACGGGCTCTTAGCTAAAAACGAAGTTATATCAAACATATATTTCGTACATCTGTTCCAAGAACTTTAGAATCCAGCTTTGACATTATTTATATTCAATGAATCTATAGATTTTAACTCATAACAGTTTGATGAGAACTTTGAATCCAAGAGTCGTATCTTAATAATTCAAAAAAATCAATAATAATGTAATAAAAATATTTAAGAAACATATTTTATGTCCTAATGGATGGTTACTTTTTTCTTTTTCTCTATCTCTAAATACTTACTTACTCCTTCAAGACGTTTGATGCTTTGAGCAGTTTTGAGATAGAACTTTGTCCACAGATAAAATAAAATAATTTGTATGATTATCGGTATTATCATCCATCGATTAAGTATTGCCACCATGATAAATATAGCCAGTACTACACTGGTCATCTGAAGTGCTTCAAGCATTATTCTTGGTAGCAGTTCATCTATCGTTCCAATGTCCTTCGAAAATCTATTTAAAATTCGACCTGAAAAAAAATTATAGTTTTTTTGTAATGCTGTAAATACATGATTAAAAATTCATTTCTGTCAATCATTATATTTTGTTCTATCAGATAAATTTATATTTTGTTCTATCAGATAAATTTAGAAATTATAATATTGATAATACTCGAATTAAAAACAGATATTTCAATCTTTTTGCCCTCAAATTCAAAACAAAGCAAAACAATTGTTATTGCTTTTATTTGACATCTTTTCCTTTCTCTACATCATTCTTTATTCATCTCATTGCTCTGCTTACCAGAAGGATTCCTGTTAAAGAAGGACATACGCGCCTGTAACAGATTGGAGAACATGATGTTGTGTAGATTGATACTGGAGTTCAGGCATATATTCATGAAGAGAAAACTGCGGAACAATACAGTAACGGTGCAAATGATAATGCAAAATGTGTAAATGTATATAGCATCTATTTTACTGAGCAAACCGTCCGAATTCAACGTGAAGATTGATGCCAGGAAGCTATCGTTACGCATGTTCATATAATTTTTATGAATTTGATTGGCGCCGGCAGTATCTTTATTTCGCCTAACTTCTTCCAAATTGGTCCAGTAGGAAAGCCAGTAATCATTGCCAGTGGTAGCAATCTGGCTGATGATGAAAACTAGCAGCAGCACAAACAGTATGAAATAATTCCCGCCATGGTGTAAATAGTCTCTATACACCTTACTAGATATTTGACCACGCATCATCTCTTCACCTTCCAGATTGTTTTCCATACAAGTCAAATCGTCGTTTGGTAATGAATACTAGAAAAATATTCACTTGGGCAATTTTCACAAAGACAAAGACTAATTTACTAAAAACGCACAAAATCACAAATCGCAAATAATGTATTGAAGAACCTAATTTAGTTTTTTATTATAGTGATTTTACCGCGTAAAACTATATTAAATATCTTTGATAATTAATATAACTGTGCAAATATACTTCTAATTATTCGATCTATTATTCGATTAAATGAATTTTTATTTAATAACAACAATACAAACACACACACACACACACACACACACACACACATATATATATATATATATATATATATATATATATATATAATAAATGAACAAATGAGTTATGGTCTTACAACAGAGCTTGCGATCGACACTTCCGAAAAACGTTTGGATATCAGCATATTCTTTAAAGACATTTCTGATATTTTTCTCGCGTTTTCTTCCTTTTTTTCTTCTACGGTGCTTATTAAGTCATTCATCATTTCAATGAAATCTTTGTTTGATTCTATTAGTTCTTTATAACTTCCTTGCATCTTTACGAAGCCCTTGGAAAGCAAAATTAAATTAGATTATATGAAAAATATTTTTATTTTTAGGAATATAATTTTTAACATGATCTTATAATAAATAATAATTACATCTTTTTATAAATTATTAAATTATCTTTTTATAAATTATTAAATTATCTTTTGCTAAAAAAAATTTTTTTAAGATTAACGTTAATTAATTTCATCAACATTTGTGCATTTTTAATTACGCACAGATTAAATATTTTTTTATGAAAAGCAATTAAAAAGAAAGAGAAATAATTAAGTTGATGATATATATAAATATATAAGTAATATTTTATTATTCTGCATAACATACTAAGTTTCAGTTCTTTAAGAATGAAATTTTTGTATGAAAGATTTAAATTTAATTTTTTTCGAGTTAAAAATAGTAAAAATTTAATGTAGAAACTACAAAATTTGAAAGGTCGAAATACTGATTCAGAAATATTTAATTCAACACACTCACCCGGTCAAGCACGATAATGTGATCCACACGTTTTAGAAAATGCAACTGATGTGTAACAAGAATCCTTGTCTTTCCGTAGAGATACTCGGTGATGCATTTTTTGTAGAGATGTTTGGCGACATGAGTATCTACCGCACTCAAAGGATCATCCAGCAAATAAAGATCCGCTTGCTTGTAGACTGCCCTCGCGAGATTGATTCGCGCCCTTTGACCTCCGGAGAGAGATACGCCTCTTTCACCGACTATTGTCATGTCACCCTGTGGAAACTGTTGGAAGTCTTTTAACAATGCGCACACACGCGTCACCTGAAACCGCCAATTACTTGAGTTATAAAATCTCAAAGAGCTTTAGAGAACCTAGAAATGTAAAAAGAGAATGTTTTTCATTTTAACGGTCTTTTTAGTGACTGAAAAATATATTTTAAACCAATATGAAGTTATAACTTTCATTCGTTGAATCTTGACCAATTTACCTCATTATATCTGACCTTATCGAAGGGTTGGCCAAATAATATATTGTCTCTTACAGTGCCGCCAAAGAGCCAGGGTTCCTGGCTAGCATAGGAGATGCGTATGTTTGAATTTTCTATGTGATAACAGTTAGTCATTTTACCGTAAGAAACATTTTTTGCGGGATCATGCGTGAGAATCACGGAACCTGCACCGAGATCCAACTCTTTCAGTAGCACGTAAAGCATGGAAGATTTACCGGAGCCTACGGGGCCGACCAGGGCGTACAGTTCACCCGGATTAATGATTGCTGAAACGTTACACAATGTTGGTGGCAGTTGACCGTTAATCCAATTTGCAGAAACGCGATGAAACTTTACGCAAACTGGACGATATGATTCCTGCTCAGGAGTTTTATTGTTGACATCTATTTGATTGTTCGTAGCAATCACTTTGTTTAATTTTTCGTCTTTAGATTGCAATGTTTCCTTAAAGCATTCCATATTTACTTCATCCATTAATAAAAGATCCTGCATATTAAAGGCTATATTAGTCATTAAACAAATACGAAAGGGGAAAAAATAAAAAAATCAGTTTATAACGCAATTTGAAACGTGATAATACATATTATGATGCACCTCTAATCGATTCATAGATATTATCGTTTCGCCAAGTACTATAAGCGCTTGCGGAAAAAACAAAGCCGCAGTGAGTTGAAGAATGTTAGAAAATGTTGCAAGAGTATAAGTCACATCATCATTCAGATTATTTCCCGATAATACGAACATTATCAATGTAAAGTAAATCAGCAACCTTTCCGTAAACACTATGATAGCCAAATTTGTAGCGCGCACGTATGCCGAGAATTTAATTTTTTTTATCTCCAGTGCTCTCGTTATCGATACAATCTTGTTGAATGGCTTCTCCCAAGCATACATTTTTATTACCTAAAATGAAAAAAAAAATGTAAATTATGAATTTCTTCGCAAAATTTAAAATTTCCTTGTAAAATTTATTTAAAATTGTAAAAGAAGAGTTATATAATATAAAAAGATGTATATTATGTAAGAAGATTTGTATAATATATAATACTTTTATCCGCACGAATATATATAATCATTTAAAAGTAAAATAGCGAATAAAATATTTTCCAAAAGTACCTGTATCCCGGCTACGAGCTCATTCATCAGCTGTATCCGTCGATCGGTCAATGGCGCGATTATGGCTCTAATACTACGGCTTAGCAAACTTATAGTTCCTTGAACAGGTATGCTAATTATCAATAGTATCCCGATGCCTATGAGAATCGAAACACCGACCTTCTGCCACATTATGTATCCCACAATTATGATCTAGTAAATAAAGAATTGTTATATAAAATAATGTCTTTAAGAAGTTAATGAATATGCAGGAAAATATGCTTCATTTTTATAACAAATCTACATTTCAACGTAATTAATTAGATAAGATAAGTGTGTATAAATGGAAGTGATATAAAATTAGGAAGACAAGTATATATAAATAGAAGTGATTTTATAAAATATAACAAAATAAATGTGCAATATACGTAAACAATTAATTAGCTTAGGAAATTCTACTTAAAGGAGGAAATCATAAGATATATTTTAAAGATGTTTACTTTTTTTATATTTTAAATATACAAATACTTTTTGTTAAATAAAATGTTACCTGAATAGGCATAATCCATATATAATGCAGATATAATGTTAATAAATCGAACCGATTCATATCATTGCTGAGAAGATTCACAATCTGTCCAGTACCGGTTCGACTTAAAGATGTTTGATTCAATCGCAATACCTAGTAACAGTTTTGAGAAAAATTACAGGATTTATTATTGGGAATAACTATAACTCTTAAACCATCATTTGTGAATTTACTATTTATTTAAAAAATTGAGCTATTATAGTTGCGTAAAGTTTTACTTAATTTAATAATTTAATAAATCTAGTATATAAAATTATTTTTTTTATAATTATTTAGTATAATATTTTCCGAATAATGTAGATTCACGATTAAAAAATAAAAGATAACGAGGCATTTTTATAGTGAGCGACAACATTTTTTTAAATATTGTTTTCTATCTATTTCTTTATTGCATTTGGAAAGACATTTAAAAAAGGATGCGCTATTCTTTTACATACATTTGTGAAATTTCAGTATCTAACATATGTCAAACGTTATCGACCAAAGTCGAAGGATAGACTTAATGGAGTAGATAATAATTATAATGTAATTTCTGTTGACGATAAATGTGCTATTGCCATAGTTTTTCAATAATTTTACATTCGCATGTTACGAGAACTTGTGAAATAGATGTCGAAGAAATTCAAACAAGAATCCGAGTATACTTAGAAAATTTCAAATAGGTTATTATTAATGAAGAATAGACATATTATTTTATTTTTTATTATTTCATATTTTAATTTATGATTGTATGTATTAATAATTACATATTAATGACAATGATTGATATTTTATTTGATGCAAAGGAAAGTATCTATGAATTTGTAAATAAGCACTAATAATATAATTATATATATGTTATTGTTGTGTGTGTTTAAAATGCATATATTTGTGTATATGCGTGTGTGTGTGTGTGTGTGTGTGTGTGTGTGTGTGTGTGTGTGTGTGTGTGTGTGTGTGTGAGGTAAAGAATTATAAATTCAATACATGCAATCCACTTTTCCAAAAACTGAAAAAAATCATTTAAATAAATTTTTCCATCTGTGAAATCAATTTCTTTCGATATTAAATATTTCATTATTAATAATTTATTGATAAAAATCTTTTTCATTGAACTTTCGATATAAATACGTGGTTTGCAAGTTTTAATAAAAATCGAAATTGATCTCGAGATGCTATTTCTGATCAGAAAAAGCAGATATTTTTTCTAGAGAGATTCTTAGATTATTATATCGAAACTTAAAATTTATTTGTATCATTACCTTTCTATAGATAAGGGAGGTGCAGGCAATGCGTATTCTCATGCCAACTTGTTGCGACATTATGTTAATATGGTTGAACATCAAGGCGGTACTAAAAAGACAAATCACTAAACATGCGATATAAATCATTGTCTTATTCTTTTCTATTTGGCTTGTTGAATTTGATTCTTGAGTAAAATAACTGATGATCCAACCTTGCAGAATCGGTGTCAAAATGCGCAATATGCATGACTAGAAACAAGAATGCATTAAAATTAATATTTTCTTGCATATTTGTATTTACATAAATTTTTGACGTAATCTTTTATATATCTAAGCAGAAAAATCTAATCTCGACATATAAGTGAGAGATATGTAATCCACTAAATTTTTTTCTCATTTCTTTTCTCTCTTTTTTTTAATATGAAAGCTATATCAAAAATAATTAATTTGATTAATGAGGACAATACATAATATTTAATTAATTGATTTTTTCATTTACATAATGATATTACATAATGGTCAAAGATATTAATAACATTCTATGCTGTTTTGCAAAATTATCAATATTTCACCAGGATAAAGATATAGATTCCTATAATTGCATATGGTAACCAAAAGGCGCCGAAGAGTGCCTTGTATAGTTTCGGACGAACATTCTTCTTCAATGGCATTTTCTGCCCATTTTTGTCCACAGTATATTCCAGTTTTTTTAGTTTTTGCAATTCGCGATTCCAATATCTAAATAAATATATTAAAATATTATTTATGCTTTGAAATAATTTTGGAAAGAGGAATTGCTATTAGTTTCCAAAATGTTTTTATAATTATTTTATGCCTTGAAATTATGTATGTAAAATTAATTTATTAAATATTATGTATGTAAAATTAATTTATTAAATATATTTATTAAATATTTATTAAATATTTTATAAATATTATATTAATTTATTAAATATTTATTATACAAGAGTTTTATGAATTTATTTGGTTTGGTGTTTTTGTGAAATCTATAATAATTGTCAAAGAAAAAAATTTATTCGCTCTTAAAAAAGATATAATATTATTTAATTCGGAAGATGTTATCTTGTTTATCAAATATTATTGCATATTTTTTTAATGAATCAAAATTTATTAACCATTTGATACCACTATATAACAGATAACAGTAAATTTATGATAGCTATATTTGATTTTTGTTATTTAATCTAAATCATGAGTATTATACTATGACAAAATCATAAATCACATTAATTATATAATTTAAAATAAAAAAAGTTTATAAAATTATTTTTTTAACTCATGAGTTTATTCAAAGATAGTACTTTTCTATTTTTTTCTTTTATATTTTACATATCGGTTATATTTTATTGTTTGTTATTAATTTTAATAAAAGTTTATATAATAAATAAAATATTATGTTTAAAATAATTATTAATAAATTATTAATTTATTATCAAGAAATTAACTCATTATTTTTGTTTGTATAAAAAATATAAGAGCTATAATTATTACAAACGATATTATTTGTTATATTTGTACGCTTTTAAAAACAGGAAATACTCACTTTTCGAGATGATCTGTCACTTTTTTAGACTCATCTTCTTTCAATGGTTGAAAAATATCAGATTCCTGCAAATCAGTCTTCGCGCCTTTTATAAACAAGTCTGCCATCCACCTAGAAAGAAAAGTTTTTTCTTCAGATTGATTTCCCGAAAAAAAATGGAAATTTGATTTTATATAAAATAATAAAATTATGCATTATTTCAACAGAATAATAATACTTTTTCAAACATAAAAACTCTTCTTAAAACAAGAATGTTTATTTTTTAATAAGACATCTTCTTTAATATAACAAAGAAACAAAAAAACTTCTTCTTGAAAAAATTGTTCTTTTTCCTTAAAATTATAAAGCTTCATTTTTTCAAGAAAGAAAAAATATTTATTTCTTTTAAACTTTCATTTTTGAGTAAAAATTAAAATCCTCTAAAAAATAAAAAAATTTCTAAAATGTTTTGTTTGCTCTAAAAAATGTATAGAAAATATTGTATAAATATATTAACGAACCAAAAAAATAGTTGACTAAAGATATTCGCAGTCTCCTTAGGATTCCGTTTCATGCGAATTGAGTCCTTATTCATGTTGTTTCACTATCGATAATCTTAGAATTTTAAAGATCTTATAACATTTAACAATAACTTAGACTGTCTTTAAAAAATATTAAAACAATTGGCATTCTCAACTTATCTCTTCTTCTCTTTTTCTCCCCTTATTTTCGAGACACACTTTTCAAAAGTCAATTCTTTACTGAAATTTAGTATATATTTACGTTAATTTTTATATTATGAGGCATTGATAACATATACTATAACGTACACAAGAATGTACTTAGTCATTTGCCTTACTTATCTATAATATATGTAAATTGTTCCTTTTTTACATTTCATTTCTGTAAAATACATTTTTAAGCTGAACTTCTAAATTTTTATTATTTTTATATATTTTATAATATACTTTTTTATGTTAAATTTGCATTAAATTTTTATGACTTTTGCAATATTTTTTGATATTACAACTTTTATAAAAATGATATATATATATATATATATATATATATATATATATATCATTTTTATGTAATGGTCGTGACCATCACGTGACCATGAGCGGGACCATCACATAAAAATGGTATATATATATATTTCTGCTTTTCTTGTATATATATCATTTTTATGTGATGGTCACGCTCTGCTTCGTCAAATGATTCGGCCCGAATCGGTTAGAATTCGAATGATAGCTCAGAATAGTTGTTAATGGTCCCTTCTCTTTGTTCATCTACAGCCACACGCACAGCATGTAGAAGCATCCGTAGAAGTATTTGAGGGCTTCTTATTATTCTTTATCTACGCTCTAATGATTATTTCACATTTTGGCTAGTTTATAATTGTATTTTGCGACCAATTACGGACCAATTTAATATATTGTTTTTTGTTTAAATATCATACTGAAGAAGACTAAGTTAAGTCGAAACGTTTGTGATCTTTTAATTAAACGAACTTATAATTAATTGTTTTATTTATTTTTATTTCTAACTTATTAATTTGCTCGTATTATCGGCCCTTTAATGTCAATTTGATTATTATTGCATTGCAATACACGAGCCTTCTAATTGTCATTATATCTATTATTTTAGATAAATAGTAAATAGTAAATAATAAAATAAAAATAAAAATTTTATATGTTGTACATTGATATTAAATTAATGTCTTTTTGTACGATAATTTTTTTAACGATTATATGTTGTTTTAACGGTTTTTTTTTAAATCTTTTCCTAAAAAAGAAATTCTTTTTTACAGTTTCCATATAAGAGACTGTCGACTTTCAATGATATTATATTATCTAAAGAGTATAGAGTGTGATAAAAACTAAATTACTGCAATATTTTTTCTGCTTTTCTTGTATATTTTATTGTACTTTGGTTTATGTATTTGGTATATTTATATACAATATTTTGTGCATAATTCATTTATCATAAGTTTACTATACATATGTAGTAAACTTACAATCAATCTCTAAATTAACAATCTATTTGTACAATTATATTTATTTAACATACTTAGTAATACGCAGGAGAGAAGTTATGTAACTATAATCGTGCAAGAAGAGAGAGATGGAAAGATTTCGATTGTAAGAGATTAACAATGAAATACTGTATCACTGCAAACCTGAGCTCATCGAATATCTGAAAATAATTACTTATGAGTGCAAAGATATTGGTAAATGAGTATGTATTTGTACATTTACAAATATTTTTGTAATATAGTTTTGTAAAATATATGTAATGTATATATAATATATATATATATATATATATATATATATATATAATATAATGTATAATATATATAATTTGTATAATATATTATATAATATATATATATATATATATATATATAATATATATTATATATATTATATATATTATATATATAAATATAAAAAATATACATCATATTTATTTATGTATAAAAGCTGCGCATGTAGCTAACGCAGTATTCTATAAAATAAGATACATGTAACAATGGGCTATACTTGCATAACATTATTATAATATTATTACATATTAATATATAATAATTATATATAATTGCTGTGTATAATATAACAAAATATACATTATACATCTCATTATATTACTCGTAGACTTTCTTAAATACTTGATAATATTAAATCGATACTTTCATTATGGTAATATAGATAGTTGCATCAATAAATGCAGTTACAAAAATATTGAGCTCTTTTTTTGCTTCTATGCCTAAATATGATAAGTTACATATGAAAGTTACATATAATTACAACAAGTAACAAAATTAAATATAATGTTTCGTTAAGTATCTGAGTTTAGTTCGGAATATTTATTCTTTAATTATAATTAAAGTAGCGATACACTATTTGTGCAAATTATAAATCTTTCATTATAAATACATTAGAACCGGCATGTAATCTTTGCTGAGAAAAGATCACAAGTTGAGAGAGAAATCGATATAATTTTAAAATTCTATATAATTATAATTATATTTTAGTTATTATTTTCAATAAATATTAAATATTTTCGATAAATATATTATTGACTTCGTTATAAAAGAAATTTGTTTAAATTGTTACATTCACATCGCGATATTATAGTGCAATTTCAATCGTCAAACGAGATATTTTTTGATTCGAAGTAAACATATACTGAATATTAAAGTAATGATCAAATGTTCACAGTATGTAAATATTATCTTAGATATATAATGCTACTTTTAAAAAATATACTTTGTTTTATTTTATTGACTCAATTCATTTTAAGTTGATACAAGCTAAGTTGATACACTTTACTATAAGAAATTTAAAGATATTTATGATTTCTAAAAGTATATAAGTAAAAACGCATAAAATAGGAAAATATAATAGTACTATGACTTATTATGTGGAAGAACTTAACATTCTGGCGAGAATAATTTAACAAAACGATTACTAGGTAAATGACATACAAAAATATGATTTGCTACAAACGTTCTAGATACAAATAACATCGCACATTATAATACTCTGGACAAGAATCGTGTCTATATAAGAATGTTCCGAAGAAAAACATACAATACATTCTTTTAAGCTTGTAGAAATATAAGTGAAATTCATATCGATACAAATAATAACGTATGTAATTTTTATATATATTCTTTCCGTCCTTTTTGTTTTACAGATATACCATAGACGTTAAATGACATGTACTTTTATTTCGAGAGTGTGAAAAGCGGGGAAAAAAAAATTCAATTAACAAAAGATTTATTCTTAAAAGATTCATCTATGCTTCGTCATGTTTCACCATATTTGTTTAAATACGATTGCTTAGCTACCTTGATGAGTTGATCACACATGCCTGCACCGGTTTCTCTTACTAACGAAGTGAATTGACTGTAGCTGTTTTGCAGTAACATATGAGGGTGATCATATTCCTGTCAGAGAAATTCCCATCATAAATTATAATTTTATAATTACATCCATTTTTCGTTCCGATTATTAGAGAATAAATCATATTATTATTAATTATAACTAAATGTTTGAAATTAAATAAATTATGATTATCATACATGAATAGATGAATTATATATTTAGCACTGTAGTATAAAACATTATAATGAGAAACTTGAAAAGTGTCCTAAAATTTCGGATTCGAAGAAATCGGATAAATGCAATACATTTTTCAGGTAATAAGTTATACTTACAGCCATACGACCCTTATCCATCACTAGAACCTTATCGCTATCCATTATGGTGTTTAATCGATGCGCCACCGTAAGCATTGTGCAAGTCGCAAACTTTTTCCTAATGGTGCGTTGAATCAGCGCATCGGTCTGAGGATCAACATTCGCGGTCGCTTCATCCAACATCAATATACGATTGTTTCTCAGAATAGCTCGCGCTAAGCATACTAATTGTCTCTGACCGACACTGTAATTGCTACCTCTGTCAAACACGCGACTTTCTAAACCATTCCCGTTAATGCCGATCGCATCTTTCAACTCAACCTGAAATAGATATATTATTACACAATATAATATGTTTGTATTTATTCAATAATGTGGTTTGGAACTTTGAAGTTTTGGAGTCTGAATGGATTTTGGGAAGATTTTACAAAAGAACATGAATATTTGAAATTATTATAAAGATTCTGAGACTTTAAGAGCTTGAAACACAGAATTAAAAGATCTGTAATTTTACAAAATTATCTTGTTAATTACAATTTCACTTTCAATATAAAAATGTTGATCAAACCTCTTCAAGTGCTTCCCACAAATCTTTATCGGGGAATTCATCGAAAGGATCCAGATTGCGTCTCAGAGTGCCTGAGAATAATACAGGATCTTGAGGGATGATAGATATTTTGCGTCGCAAATCTTCCAAGGCAATCAAACCCGTGTTTATGTCATCGATCTTAATGATTCCTTCCACTTTCGCTAATCGAAATAAAGCTGATATCAAAGATGATTTTCCGGCACCTGTTCTTCCCACGATGCCAATCTACATGTAATATGTAAAATAAAATTGTAATGTTCTTAATTATTTTTAATCATTTTATATTTATATATATTTATTTTATACATATATATTATTTTCATATTTACTTTTTATTTCGTTGTAACAATTGAAAATTTAGATTAAAAAGAAATTAGAAAATTTTTTTGAAAAATACTTGATATTAAAAATTAATATTGCAGTTTTATAAAAAAAATGTCGTGCTTTCTTTCCGCTTAATTATTATCTTTTTTGACAGAATTTCCTCAGAAAAAAAAATATTTTTTCATAAAATCTTCCTACCTTCTCTCCGGGGTAGATCACTATATTCAAACCCTTAAGAACAGGCGGATCCTCATCCGCGTAACGCATATAGACATCCCTGAATACGACGCTACCTTTTTCGGGCCAGCGTTTGGGTGCATTGTCCGGTAATACCAGATTCTCCTTGTCTTTCTTCTTTAAGTATGTTCCTCTATCTCTCAAATTCGGTTCTGGCGTAAGTTGAATATATTCGAGCACGCGTTCCACAGCCATCATCTGATTAGTTACTTCGGCGCTCTGTCGCATTCCCCATTGAATTATACCTGTCATTCCCATTATTTGAGTAATAGCCAATCCAACTTCGCCACCAGAAAATGCTGAAATAAAACAATAATCAAAGTTTTTATAAATAGAGCAGCTTATAGATGAAATTCAGAGCTTGTTTAAAAAAATGCTTACTTTGAT